TAATATTACACTTTTGAAGCGTATTGACTTTTATATAAACATTCGCATATTTTACTTTCGATGCGCAAAATTCACGCGCTAATGATTTCCCGGTTTTAAAAGCGATTAGATTTATAGTCTCATTTTTTAACGCGATGCATTGCCAATGATTTCCGGATCATCGCGAAAAAATTGATAAGGAGACTTTCGATACTTACTTTACTTTCGATATATTTAATACTCGTGATGCGACTATTATGCTTCGATCGATGGGCAATTAATAATTATTATTATATTAGCAATTAATAATTATTATCATATTAGAGAGCAGAAGAGAAGCATTACGCGAACACTCCATATTTCATTCCGTCCGCGCCGGTCCGCGCTCACTCGCCGAAAGAACGTAGGAACATAGGAATGTTGTTTATGTATTAGTTCGATGCGAAGATAAACACATACATAAACACAACTTTTTCGAGGAGAGTCTTACTGGTGGGAGTAATACAATTATCTACAGACTTGTATATATACCTAGACTGTTAATACGACTACGTCTCACATAGTGACACGTGAAACAAGAGCGGCCATTTACAATTGGGCAGAGTGTCATATCAGGTATCGCAGAATTTGATATGAATTCGATATGTGTCATTGATAAGATCAAATAAAAAACGTGATAGTAAAAACGTATATGTTTAAAACATTTTAAAGTAAAGATAAATTAAAAATTATATCAGACGCGTGCTCACGTAACGCACAATCTTGACAAACTTTGTCAAGTGCGCGAATTAACCAGCAATTTCGAGTGTCGAGTGAAATGTCGGGTGAATGTTATTATATGTTGAAATTGAGTCCCTCATGAGTGATAGATGGTTATCGATATTTAATATGTGCATAAATGCTTAAGGACAAGTGGTTAGATTAGATGTGAACATCATTATTATAATCGCGCGTTTTCGGCGTAGGTAGTATTGATTGCAATTACGCGTAGATGAATTTTGAGAGTGCCGACAAAAATATCGTGCAATTTCGTCGTATTTTAAATATCGCGAGTGTTAATAATATATTCTATTGACTCTATTGACTCTACAGTTACATGTGCAATATGGATCATCGATTATCGATCATCGTAATTATTAAAAAGATGAACGAATCAATGATCCATCCGATGACGGGAAGGAAGCAGCAATTGCACAACGGTTGGTGAGTCTGTAATTATTATCATAATTAATTATGTTTTATATATAATTTATATGTATATGCAGCAAATTGATATGAATGTGAATTAATAAATCCTTGCATGGATTATTGAAAAATATTTATTAATAATATAATGAAACAATTATTTAAAAATAATGCGTTAAAATAGAGGCGCTTTTTCTCTCTCACATATTTTTCTACATTTTTTACATTATATTATTTACATAATTATAGCGTAGGAATAACTAGCGTATACCGATGCATTAAATTTTATATTGTAAAAAAATTAACAGAATTTATTTTTGCGTCTTATAAAATGCCCATTAAAATGATTAACTTTTACGTGTAGCAAAAAAGAGGTTTATAAACTATACTCCACCGCCACACATTATATTTTTAGTATATTTAGTACTTTTCTACACACAAAAAGCATTGTGGTTTATCTGCTGCTACGTCACTCGTTAACGTATGATTTTTTTACTTGTTCGCAAAGGGATTAATTTGTAAATAACATCTCTCACGCGAGCTGCAGAGAACTTTTTATGAAAAATAACAGAAAACAAGTAGAAAACGAGGGAATTAAAAAAATTTCACTAAATCTATATGTATATTAACAACATCGTGTTATAAATTAGAAATACATTTTTGCCTTAGGATTTGCATGTATAAAAGTTAATAATTTCTTAAATGTACTATTCTCATATTTATAGATAATAAAATTAATAATTTATGCAAATTATTAATAAAAGAAACTTCTAATAATATATTTTTTTTGGCAAAAAATGTTTTCGATAATTTAAAGGGATTTTTTTTTTAAATTTTTTCTTGGCTCAAAGAATTCATTAAACACATTATTCTCGAGTCAAGTGCGTCGGGTTTTTAAAAAACTGTCAGGAAATTTCATTACAAAGAATTTCATTTATGGCAATCTGTCAAGATGTAGCGTGGTATTGCGACCGTATAGAATCATCGTGCACGGTTCTGCCGGCGGGCTGCCATCAGCAGAGCTATATGAAACCCTGACGTGGCGGGCAGGGTTGTAATTGTCGCCCTTTGTCCGTCATGCGAGCTTGCGGAACCGCTCGGCGGTGAACCGCAAGCTTTACCGACCCTGCTGGAACCACTGAGCCGTACAGGCATTATCACATCAGGTGCTTAATCCTTGGTTTATCACCTGCGATGCCGACTCCCGCCGACCTGTGCGAGAGAACAGTCTTCGCTTTCTTGTTGTCGCGAATTTACCGCTGACGCATCGTTATACTGTGAATTGAATGAAATTCCAAGGAAATGTTGATGAAGCATAGCGATATAATTTTATGTCTTTAACGCCATTTATTTCTTCCTTTTATCGTTTATGCCATATACAGAGTGAACTATTTTTGCTCTTTTCAATAACTATCCTCAGTTAATATGCGATATATATTTTTTGTATCACTTTCTTACATTTAACATTTAATCTTATAACACGTGCACGTGCGCGTTAAATTATAAGTCAAAATTTTATTAAAGTCCGGTTGTAATTTGTAACAGAAATTACAAATTACATGTTAGTTACTTTTTGGTCTACTCGGTATTATATATATATAGCTAAGCGATAAAATGGATCTCGTAAATACTCAAGTTACACGTAATAAATTTTAACTTTCTCTCGCGGCATTTCTCCCATAGGTAACACTTATTATTTTAGTCGGCGGCAAGATGCGGAAAATAAAGAGAGGTATCGATAAACTTCGCTAAAGTGCGTCGCGCGCGCGCGCTATGGAATAACATAAATATCGCGGCAAAAGGTGCTGCCCAAATATTGCGAGCATTATGAAAAGCCATAAACCACTGCCCTAAGGGCAGCCGTCGTGTACAGGATCGATATTCTCGTCGTCGCGACTGCGATCGCAGCGACTGCGGATCGTCCGTCCGTCGTAGCTCGTGTTATACATATCGCGAAATATATACCCAGTATACTGCATCGTTACGCGAGAGATAGGTGGTCATAAAAGACGCAACGTCAACGAAGCGATCGCTCGTATAGTCCGTAAATGGACATTGCTTGTTTCTCGCGATCGCGCGACGAAGTTGAACTCGTTTCCGCGACGATTACGGGAAACGTTTTGAATACCGCCTCTTTCGAGATAAAGCAATCAACCATTGCCGTGAAATTGCGAGGAGAAGCGTCATGTTAGTTTCGGTTCCCGTGTATATGTCGGCTATGAACGAAATGGGCCTGCTCCATTTTTTAGGATGATGAAGTTTTCGCTAAAATTAAATATGCGAGCATGCTAGGTTTGGACGGCTTTTGTATAAAAAAGAAAAAAGGCAAACGCTTCTATGTTAAAATTGAAATTTTCTTTAAAGAGATCATTTATATGTGTTATAATATAGAAATTATTATGAAAGATGAATAGCATGCCTATTTTTTTATATATGTGTGTATTTTTAATGGGCAAAATTTTAAAGCAGTTTTAATTTAAGATTCGTGCACTCACTTTTTTTTTAATGAAAGCTGCCCAGTTAAAAATTGTTTTACTTCCTTAATTATAAGTTCCCTTTTCGATTTCTTCTTAACTTTTGATGCAAACTATAGATAAAGCTCGGAACTCGTAAAAAAAAAAAGAAAAGGCATAGAATAGTTTCTTTGCAATCTGCTCGAATAATCGACTTCCGGGCAGGTTTTATATTATGAGAAATTTTCTTCGAATATACTACGCAATATTTGCATCACTATATATATATCAAATTTTAATGCTTTAAAAACTGGAAAATAAGGAGCTTGCGTTCGAGTCTTGTTTCGTTGCGCTTGTCGATGAACAAAAAAAGGAGAGGAGCTAGAAATAAATTCGACATGTTGAAGTGTTGAAGAAGATATAAAGGTAACCGCCAGACTTCTTCGCACGCGCGTTCGCCGAATATAAAATCATCGAGTCGATACTTCGAAACCGATTCAGCGAAATTATTGTGTATTGTGTCGTGTATTATTACCGAAATAACCAATCGTTGCTTTCTTCCGCGAGACGAATAATACGTGATATTTCATTTTTCGGCGTCGCCGGATAATTTCTTTCATTCGGAAAAAGCAGTAAGTAATTGTGCACTATTATACCTATTGATTGATCCTTTATGTAATAAATTATTCATTTGTCTCATTTGCAATTAACGTAGTACTAATATACTTTCTCAAAAGCAGCTTTTCTTCGAAAAAAGAAGACATAATTTTTTAGCTGCTAGTATATAGAGCGATTCAAGATAAATAGATCGATGAATCTCGCGCTTTTGCATATCGTGACAAGCGAGACTACGAGAACGTCAGGTGATGATCCAAAAGGCTTCTATCTGTTTGCTTTGCGTAGTAAACTATCGATAAACGTACGCGCCCCAATCCCCTCACGCAAGCCAGCATTCAATGGTTAGCAATCTTTGCCAATCGATTTTGCCATATCGAGAATTTATTGTTTACAAATCGATAGGATCGATGAAGCCTCATTCTTTTCGGCGATTCGCGACATTCTCTCTCTATATACTTATCTTATTATCATTCTATTTTATAATTTTAATTCTATTTCCAATTATATTAATTGTGTTATTATATTATATTAATTATATAAATGGATTTTGCGATTGACATATCTTTGATTGCATTATATCTTATATTAGAACGAGAAATTATCTTTTAAAGTTGATTAGTTAAATTTAATTATGTCGAGAAAGAAAGAGAGATATATAAAAAATGCGCTATTATTCGTGTACAGTACAAGACCTCTTTATTCTTCCGTAAAAATGTTTATACATATTTTTATTGCGAGCAAGGAAAGTATTGGCAGTCTACTCACTTGTTTCCGGAATTCTGGTATCATGAGCGACTAGAAGTTGGGCTGCGAGTGAGGCCCGATGACCGGAAGTACTCTCAGCCACGCATTCGTATCTGCCACTATCCTCAGGCTTCGCGGAGGATATCACGACTTTCGATCTCCGCCTGTAAATCAAAGAATCATCTATTTTAATATAAAAATCATCGTAATATTTTATGCCAAATCTTTGTCCGCGATTATGGTCATTCGTGATAACATGATAAAATCTAGGGCGTAACTATGAGTAAATTCAACCAATAATATAATATACATATATATATTATATTAAACTAAAATAACCATCTCTTCTCTTCCTCTCTCTTTCTCTCTAGTTAAACTTTCGTTGTGCTATTAATAATGTTACAGAAAAAAAAAATTTTTAATATAAAGAGATTAAAAATTATTACATTTAAAATAATAAAGAGAGAAGTCGAAAAGATGGCGCATTCCATTCAATTATTCAATTGTGCATGTATACGAATCATTGTATTTGGCCGGATTTGATTGTCAGTCGTAACAGATAAAATCCAGATTTTAATTATCGTGTTCACAAATCTGTGCACGCACGTTCATCAATCGACTTAACCGTTTTTCATTTCGTCAATCGCGCTCGGCGCACGATAGTCCTGGAATTAACCGTCGCGGGCGGTTCGCATTACAGCGAATTTATCGACGCGTCGATAACGGAATTAAATAGTCGATTTGCCAATGCGAAGAGGGAGAAAGAGAGAGAGAGAGAGAGAGAGAAAGAGAGAACGGAGTCGTTGACGCGTGCTGCGGTAATGGTTCAATAAGTTCGGTTGGCGAACTGCGAATCGGGAATTCGGTTCGTTATTAGCCGCGATGAGAGTTTTCGGCACCCCCGACCAGCATTCGCTATTATGGACGAAACGGTGGAGTGTGATTTTAGTACCTATCGAAAATTTTCCGTCCCATATTACCTTTCCGTCAGTCGCAAAAGCTCTCTCTCTCTCTTTCTCTCTCTCTCTCTCTCTCTCTCTCTCTCTCTCTGCGGTTATTACCGCGTTACAAGATTTCACGTATTACAGGACTTCACGTGATATTGCGCTTACGTTACCCTAAGCCGTTTCTAAGTTGTATTTCAATTAGTTTGAGTTGATTGCTCGTGCCGAAAACTCCGTGATTACGCAACTGGGGATTATATGAAGCAAGAGAGAAAGAAAGAGGACGGGAGAGACAGAGAATTCGTAGGTAGCACACTAATGAAATTAAACGTAGTCGTATGATCGCAATGTAATTTTCGTTGAATGTGAGAGAGGACGTCAGAGAGGAGAATTAATCCGCAACCAGTACAGGAGGCTCCGAAAGACATGCTCAGTAAACCAATAATTGGATGTTATGTTGCTAGTATATGTCATTTAGAGCGGGAGTTCATGGATGCGGAGGGAGTTACTTCGACAAAATAAAGCCTTTTTACATTCTGTGAGCATCTCGCATAATTAACTTTATTAGAGAAAAAGAAGTTTTTACGGTAGAAAAATATGCTTGTAAATTAAGGAGATATACATATATGTTAGAATATATCAAAATCCAAATTTTTTAAAATGAAAGGCAGATGCAATAAAATAGGCTAACAAAATATAATTTTCAAAATGTATAATGATAAATAAATAACATAATTCGTAACGTCGAATCAATTTCGTAAGCTCAAAATTTATAATCTCATAATCGAATAACGAGTTATAATCTTTGATTTGACTTTATTATTTTAAATTGGGCCGAATATATAGCAGTATCACAGAACTTTTTAAAAGTGGTTTTCCTCACAGATTCATTAGCATTTTTATAATTGCAACTGTATTAATGTACCCGGTTACGAATTAACATGTCAGCGGTTTTTTATACACTTGACAATCCAGCTCTCCTGAACTTACCGATTTTTTTCTAATGCCAACATGTTTTCGTATAGTTTTATCTATTCGTAGATCGTCAAATTGCGCGTTAACTCATTTCACGGTTAGGTCGAGTTTATCGGCGTCGAATAATGGAATTAGACGGTCGATTTGTCGAGAAGACAGGAGGAAGAGAGAGACAGAAAGCGGGAGTCGCAGACTCGCGCAATATCGCCACGTCTGAATAACTTTGGACTATCATGGAAGGCGGGGGATTAACTTATTATTATCTTCGCCGGGATTTCGAAATCCGAATCGGCTTGCTCAAAGAGATTCCATAAAGTTCGGAAAAGGCCAAGAAGTTCTCACGCGTTCTCCGGGGAAAATCGGGAACTCGAATATTCACGCGATGCATATTTGTGCCGGAGTAGAGAACGACTTGAAATTTCTGGACTCTTTTTAGTCGAGACAAACTTGATTTTTTCCACGCAAAAGAGTTCGCGTGATCTTCGCGTCCACGAAAGTTCCATATTTTCGGGAGAATGTGCGAGAGGAACAAATTTAATAAGTTCAAGTGTGCACGTACGCTTACGAATTCAATTTACGAGGCCAGCTAAAGTACTTTCAATGGTTGGAATCGATCGCGTCGATGATTCACACCTCGTTTTTTTTACATTGACGTATCTTTCGATACCAGGCATTGAAACCAAAATAATATCAGTAAATGTAATTTTTTCGGTATTATATCGGCATGAAAACATATATAGATTCCATTTATTGTCACGCGAATAAATTATTTTTAAATTCTGAATTTACTGAATTTATATATTCTACTTTTCACATATATTTATAAAGGCGTAAAAACTTGTGCACGTGTGCGCTATTGACATTCTTAATTGACGAATTTTTACCAAAAAACAAAAAAACCATTACTTGTCAGTCTAAAATTACGATCAACAAAAAATTAATTGTGTGTTATGTGCGTGTGGATATAAAACTTCATTTTAATTTTCATACAATTGATTAGATTATAAGCAGGATTAAAATAGGCTATAAAAAAACATATTTTTCAATTTAGATCAGTCTATCTGGAATTTCTCTTCGATTTTCGGTTTAGGAAAATGTAAAAATCGAGGTCGATTTCATATTGAATTTCATCTTCACTCATTAATTTTTTATGGATCGTTATCTCTGATTGAATTTCAAAATATTATATAAAATTGAGAAATACGAAGATAAATAATATTAAAATATTTATATAATGTGCGTGTTTTTAATTTTGTAATAAAATATTAAAAATTGTAATAGATTTTCCTATGTTTTATAGAATATGTTTAATTATATCTGTAGCATTTTATATTATTTGAATGCAAATTATCAAAGATATTTCGCAAGTCTCGAAAATATTCGGAAATCCTGTTTTTTTTAGAACAATATGGGATACAATTAACGGGATTCTTCACTGTTTTTATTTATCAAAATGCAAAAGAGTATTGTCTATCTCAAGAAAAACATTTCTCCTTGAAAATATAACAATATACCGCGAAAGGCGTATCGAGGGGCTAGAAATTTTTCTCTGCTAACAGATTTCATTTCATTTACGTGTTTTCGTATTCTTCTTGTTTGATTTGGGAAAGATTCTCGACTGCTATTTTATCTTGCTCGAGGTATAAATGTCAAAGGTCGTAGAAAAAGGAGCTCTGTGGAATATGTTATGCGTTATAATTAAACGTTTACATTTTTTAACTGTCTTTCCTGAACACCGAGTTTCTCGCTGGTCGTAGTGAAACGTATCGCCAGCTCGGTCGCAAGTGAATAGATTTGTCTTACAATAAAAAAGTCTCATATTTTGATTGTGCTCTTTACTAAAATTTTTGATGTACATCACATGAAATTCGCTCAAAATTTTATGATACTATACACTAAACATTGCTACACATTGCAAAACGTTGCAAGTATAAGAGAAGAAACAGCCAAAATTGAAAAATAGTATAATGAAATAAAAGTAAAGATAAAAAGGAAATTTCAACTTGTTCTCTTAGGAAAATCAAAGCAAAAATGCCAATACAAGTTGTTAGACGCAGTTATCCTTTAGCAAGTTTATATCACTTTTGCCTTATGACTCGTGTTGATTTTCTTGACATAATTAAAATAAAAATAATTAATAGTACAATAATAAATGCAATAAAATATCTGTGTTTTTTGAAGCATCTTTAATTTACATATTTATCGATGAATTTTCTCTCCCCCTTCACTGTTTTAATTCATATTTAATTATTTATCGGAATGATTAAATATTCGAGAAACGAATAGAATTAAATAAAACTATATGAGAACGAGAAAAAGATCATTTGCAAAAATGGTTTTTGTGAAAAATTCGCGAATATGACAGCACACAGACATAAAAGACTTTATGGGATTAATTCGCAGTGACGACCGTCAACCGTGAATTTTACGTAGCGTTCGATCATGGTGGACGGATCGCGCGGCGATTTATTTTTTATCCGGCGCAACGAAATGAAATTCGTTCGCGGCGCGGCTATAAATTACGCGGAAAATCGCGAATGGTCAACGTAGCATTATGCGAGTGGCGTTTAAACAGTCTCTGACCGCGATCTTCACAAAGAGACGTCGGCGCGAGATTAATTGCGACATAAACGCGCGAATAGAGAGAGAACGAGAGACAGAGGGAACGAAACACGCTTGAATTGTGCTGAATCTTTGTTTGGCGGATGCAGCAGCGGTTGCAATTTGTAAAATGAGCCTGTCGCCGGATGCATACATGCGGCCGTGCAAATATTGTAACGGATAATTGGTACGACGGCGACTTTGCGGATGCGCGTATCTCATATTGTAACGTTAAAACGTCGATTAGTCCGCGGGACACGCGGCGCTTGTCATTTCGAATTGCTTTTCCGGCAATAATTGTGTCATCCGCCGAAATGCAGTTGATACGCACTGACCATCCTTTTACTCGTTCTTCTCCGCGTTTGCGTAATTTAGGTAGGATAAAACGATTTAATAATCGCGGTTTAATGGAACGTTATTTTTATACTCATCATGGACAATATCGAGTTTCAATAATATTTAAATTTCAATGTTACTTGACATTTTCGCTTCACGCAGATGCTACGTAATAAATATGTAGTTCTCGAAATTTATATTTAATAACGCAACATTCTACGGTGTGCAAAGTTCATCGTCTATCTAATTACTACTGGAAAAAATATATAATATACAAACTATAGAAAATATAGAAATTTATAAATTTT